CCCCCGCGGGGCTGACCACCTAGACCCCGCCGCAGCCCCCCAGCGGAAGCGCGCTGGGGCAGGGACACTGATGGCCATTGACCCCCGGAGGGCTTCCTGGAAGAAGGGACTGCTCCACGGAGGCCCGAAGGCGCAGAAGTGGGCGGAGAGAAAGGCGGGCCACTGTTAGCCCTGGTAGGGCCCGGACGTCAGACCCCCCGGGCGCGGGCCGCGGGTATAGGTCTGGGACTCCAGACGTGGCCCCTTACTCTCATGCTCTCTGGACCGGCGCGGGGAACACCTAGAGCCCTTAATCGGCCTCCGGTCCTTGATGATTCGGAAACTCCTGACGCAGCTAAAGTGAATCTGGCGCTGAGATGGCACCTCCATGGGCTGGACGCGGAGGGAAGGGGTGCCCAGTTGGGTTCTGGGGCCCTTCCCCTCCTTGGCCTTCCACTATTCCGTTTGACCTCCTTTTTCCTTGGCCCCTCCTCCCCCTTGACCTGGTGCTGATTGACTACTTCCACCTCCCCTGGGCTGGCCCCAGGCTGCTGTACTCCCGTAGGATCCCTGGGCCCCTCCCCAACATCCCGTGCCACTCAAGAGTTAGTGCATAGTGTCAACGGTGCTTCCACGTGCAGCCTGGAGGCCTCCCTCGGGCTGCCCCCACCTTGGTGGGGCTACACTAGCGTTGGCGACTCCCCTTGCTCACCTTCTGCATCCCATCAGTTGCTGTATCCCGCTACTCCTGCCTTCTAGAATTATGTGCCCTCCACACCACCAGGAGGCCTGCAGCAGCTTTTCCCCAGGCTCCCTGCTTCTAGCAGGGCCAGCTTCTTCCTGCAGTAGAGAGCTCTGGTGGGAGCGAAGGCTCCATCACCGCCTCTCTCTCCCAAACGCTGCAAGGTCAAAGGTCCAGCCCCAGCACTGGCGCTGGCCTCTGCCCCTGTAGCCCATCGTCCCCCCGCACTGATGGCACACACTGTCTGCCTGTCCGACCCCACCTCCACACCCTTGCCTGCACTTTGCCTCAAGTGCCTCTCCTGCTGTGATCTGCCTGTCACCTGCCCTTACCTGGGGGTGGCTTCCCCAGACCAAAAGGGATGTTTTCCCTCCGCTCCCTTCCACGGGCCTTCTTTCTCAGACCATGAACCCGTCCTGACCCAGGCTCTGACCTCCTTCCTGCCCAGGTACCTGCTGGAGCAGCGAGACGTGGAGGTGAATGTGCGGGACAAGTGGGACAGCACCCCCTTGTGAGTGCTGGGGAGAGGGGTGCAGAGGGTGGGGGTTGGTGTATCCCTTCAGCGCTGAGGACTTGCTCCCTCCCTTCAGGTACTATGCCTGCTTGTGTGGGCACGAGGAGCTGGTACTCTACCTTCTGGCCAATGGTGAGAGCAGGGAGCCGGGCTCAGGGGTGTGCGTGGGTGCATGCATGCATGTGTGCAGCTTTTCCTCGGGCTCCCTGCTTCTAGCAGGGCCAGCTTCTTCCTGCAGTAGAGAGCTCTGGTGGGAGTGAAGGCTCCATCACCTCCTCTCCCAAACGCTGAAAGGCCAAAGGTCCAGCCCCAGCACTGGGCCTTCATACACATTTGCAAAGCACCACGATTCCTCTCTTACCACTCAGTAGAATCAGCAAGTACTGTTAGCGCTACTTTAAAACCTTTTCTCTGTCCACCTTCCCCATCTCTACTTCTATGACCTGGGCCCAGTCATCAGCATTTCTCCCCCGGGCACAGTGCCTGCCTCCTCTCTTGCCATTGCAGCCAAGTTCTAATTCTAATCTCCCTCTTTTCACAATGAATCTGAGTGGCTAAAAATCCTCTAGCGAGTTCCCACTGCCTCTAGGACACAGTGAGCCTGCCTGGCCATGCCCAAGGCTCCACAGGGTCTGCCCTCCTGCTGGCCTCACTCCCTCGGCTCTCTCTGCTTGCTTGCTGCTATACTGGCCTCACTGGGGCTTCACTGTGCTACGCATGCGCCTGTTCCTGCCCCAGGGCCTTTGCACCTGCAGTTCCTCCTGCATGGACTGCCCTTCTGCAGACATTCACATGGCCTACTCCCCCACTTCATTCAGGTCTCTGCATGCTGCCACCATCACAAAGTGACCTTTCATGACTTTCCTTCATCCAGTGCCATTCTTCATCCTATTTTGGTTTTCTTTTTCTTTTCTTTTTTTTTTTTGGAGACAGAGACTTGCTGTGTCACCCAGGCTGGAATGTAGTGGTGTGATCTCGGCTCACTGCAGCCTTAACCTCCCAGGCTCAAGTGATCCTCCTGCCTGCCGCAGCCCCTTCAAATCTTCCAATAGCTGGGACTACAGGCGTGTGCCACCGCGCCTGGCAAGTTTTTGTAATTTTTTTTTTTTTTGCAAAGACGGAGTCTCACTATGTTGCTCAGGTTGGTCTCAAACTCCTGAGCTCAAGCGATCCACCTACCTTGGCCTCGAAAAGTGCCTGGATTATAGGTGTGAGTCGCCATGCCCAGCCTTGTTTTTCTTAATTAGTCCCTGCCATCGTTAGGTAGTGCGTTCATTGTCCTGCCTCACTAGAGTATAAGTTCAGCAGGACAGGGACCTGTGTCTCGTTCACTGCTGTGCTCCAGTGTGTGGGACAAGCCCAGCCACCGAGTCTGCTCTCTGTTCTGTGTAGTCTTGTCTTCCGTGTGAGCAAGTATGTGCCTGTGTGAGTGCGCACAGACATGCCCATTCGTCTAGCCCTTGACTGGGAGGATGTTGGGTCAGAGTGGGCCCAGGGTAATTTGGGAAGGCATTGCCAGAGATTCGGAGCACCATGTGTGGGAAGGTGGGGAGGAGGGAGAGGGAGATTAGAATTTCCCCAGGCCCCTTTCCTGCTAACTGGTGAGCGCTGCATCCCCCAGGAGCCCGCTGTGAGGCCAACACCTTCGATGGTGAGCGCTGCCTCTATGGGGCACTGAGTGACCCCATCCGCCGAGCTCTACGCGATTACAAGCAGGTCACAGCTTCCTGCAGGAGGCGGGATTACTATGATGACTTCTTGCAGCGGTGAGTCAGGGCACACGAGGGGTGCAGCATGGGGTGCGGTGGCCGTGGTGAGTGTGGAGGGGTCTGCTCTGTGGCCTGCCCTGGGCTCTGGGTGCTTCAAGGAATGGGGTGGGGGCTGTGCCAAGCATCCTCCCTCCCGGCTTGTCCCTCCCCAGGCTTCTAGAGCAGGGCATCCACAGTGATGTGGTCTTTGTAGTACACGGAAAGCCATTCCGGGTGCATCGCTGCGTCCTGGGTGCACGCAGTGCCTACTTTGCTAACATGCTGGACACCAAATGGAAGGGCAAGAGTGTCGTGGTTCTCAGGCACCCACTGGTATGTCCCTTCAGGGTGGCAGAGGGGCATGGACTGCCCAGGAACAGCAGGGGGTTGTGCTGGGTGGCTGCCTCTGACATTCCTTTCTGGCTTTCTGCCCACAGATCAACCCTGTGGCCTTTGGGGCCCTGCTGCAGTACCTGTACACAGGTGACCCCCTGGGTCCAGGGTAGGAGGAGAGGGAGTGGGCTGTCCTTCTGGACAGCAGTACACCTAGGTGTCGCTGGGCTGACCTTTAACCTCTAGACACTTCATGGTCCCCCAGGGTGGTTCCAGCTGCCCCTCGCGTTGGGTTGCAAGAGAGGACTAGTGTGTCTGCCCAGGAAGAGCTTGTCCCACCCATATGCTGAGCCTTTCCCGTCTGTTCCCTGGGGCCTGTAGAACTCAGGCAGCAGCTCTTGATGGGGAAACCAAGGTGGCAAGTGGGTCCAGGAGTCCTAGCCCTGTGGCCAGGTGGCCAGGTGGGAGGGGATCACTGTTTTTCTGTGGGCCTGATGACAGCTCAGGTCCCGCAGGCCCTCATCCTCCCCACTGCCCCCAGGCCGCCTGGACATTGGTGTAGAGCATGTGAGTGACTGTGAACGCCTGGCCAAGCAGTGCCAGCTGTGGGACCTGCTCAGCGACCTGGAGGCCAAGTGCGAGAAGGTGTCTGAGTTTGGTGCGAGCAGGTTTTGGGGCCCGGGGCCATGGGTGCCGCCTGGTAGGGCTGGCCTGGCTCCCTGAAGTTGTTCTTCCCCTGTAGTGGTGTCTAAGCCAGGCACGTGTGTGAAGGTGCTGACCATCGAGCCCCCGCCTGCAGACCCCCGCCTCCGGGAGGACATGGCGCTGCTGGCTGACTGTGCCCTGCCCCCTGAGCTCCGAGTAGGTGCGGGGCTGGTGGGCAGGAGGGGCATTTTGGGATGGCAGGCTGTGACAGGCAGCCCAGATACTTGGGCTCAATTTCTTGTGTGGCCTTGGACCAGTTACTTCCCTTTTCTGAACCTAGTCATTCACTTCTGTGAACAACTGCTCTGATGGGGTCACACTCTTCTGTACCCCAGGGTGATCTTTGGGAGCTGCCTTTCCCTTGTCCTGATGGCTTCAACAGCTGCCCTGACGTCTGCTTCCGAGTGGCCGGCTGCAGCTTCCTCTGCCACAAGGTGCCTGCGCCCTCCTGTTGCCCCTAGCTCCAACCCGTTGCCCTGAGTCTAGCTCCTCAGGAGACAGACCCTGGCCCTCACACTTCCTGAGCCCGGCCTTCCCCAGGCCTTCTTCTGTGGCCGCAGTGACTACTTCCGGGCCCTGCTGGATGACCACTTCCGAGAGAGCGAGGAGCCGGAGACCTCAGGGGGCCCCCCAGCCGTCACCCTGCACGGCATCTCACCCGACATCTTCACCCACGTGCTCTACTACGTGTACAGCGACCACACTGAGGTGGGGGCTCAGGCAGAGCTGGGGACGGCACACAGCCTGTGCTGCCATGGGCTGAGAGGGAGCGCCAGGGCCTTGGGGGTCTTTGGGAGGGCCCAGTTGGCCCCATGATTGACATTTTGAGAAGGCTGGAGGGGAAGGATGTGGGACTTTGGATTTTTCTTTCAGGCAGAGGGAAGCCTTGTTAGGCTCCAGAGAGAGGGTAAGTGACAAGGCCTATGTCACAGGCACTCCACACTTGTCAGCCACTTGGGGTCCTCAGCTTCTCCAGCAGGAGGGTGGAGGCTGGGTGGGGACAGCCTCCTCCCTCTGCGATGCTGCAGATCCCTGGGGTTCTGGGTTCCTAGTCTCCTCTTCCCTTGCTGCCTCCCTCTGTCTCCAGCTGCCCCAGGGTCTCCGTAAGCCAAAGCTACAGGGCAGCAGCAGAGTGCTGAAGGTTTGATCTGCCAGGGTGTGTGTGTGTGTGTGCGCGCGTGCATGCACGCTATAAAGAGACCCCCATATCTGGTGGCTTGAAGAGGGGAGTTTGTTTCTCCTTCACATCTGACTGAGGTGGCTGCCCCAGGGCAGGTGGCTTGCTGAAGACCAGGTCATCCCTCCATCTTGCCCCTGTATGCCTAAGGGTGAAGGTCAAAAATCCTTGTCTCTAAAGGTGAATGGTTCAGGTTCTGTGGGCCATATGGCCCTGTTGTAGCTACTCAACTCTGTAGTGCAAAGGCAGCCAGAGACAGTACAGAGATGAGTGGGTGAGGCTGCATTCCAATAAAACTTTATTTGCACAAACAGGCTGGATTTGGTCCGCAGGCTGTAGCTTACCCACCCTGCCCTGGGGCATTGCCTTTGGCCATGGAGATTGGGTCCTAGGCAAACTCATGCTCTAGGAGGAAGAGGAACACAGGGCAAACAATGTTGTTTTTGTAGAAGCTACAGGAAATTGCACACAGCACTTCTTATGTTCCCCTGGAGAGAACTTCGTGCCTACCTGCCAACAAAGGAGGGTTGGAAAGTCATTCTGTGGCCAGGGCCCTGTTTTGTGGGGGAAGGGTTCGAGGAAGCATGCTGGGGGACAGAGGGCAGTCCCTACTGCTGCTCTACCTCCAGTGGCAGCTCCCTTGTCCATCCCTCCCTGCGACCTAACAGCCCCTCAGCCTCCGTCCTTCCCACCTCCTCTACTGGGCAACTCCTGCAGCTCAGCCCAGCTCTGTGGCCCCTTACCAGGGGTTACCTTTGCCCACCCTGGAGAAGCTCCCTCCTCAAGGAGCCTCGCCACCCCAAGGGCACCTTGTCTCAGAGTGTGGCTTGGGCTCCTAACCTGGGTTGACACTGGTTGAGCTGTGTGACACTGGGTGAGCTTTGTGATCTTGGGCAAGTTACTTAACTGCTCTGTGCCTCTAGAACATGGGGATAGCACTCATCGTCACTTCCTAAGGCCTTGTGCGGATGAATGGGTTACCCAGGTAGAGGAGGTGGCATGGCACATGGCACATGGCCTGTAATGTGGTCGCAGAGCTTCCCTCGTCTCTGTCTGCAGCTTGTTCCCTGTGCCACCCAGGCTCTGGCCCGAATCTGAAGGCTTCAGTCTTACCCAGCACAGGATGTACCTGTAGGTGGGCTCTGTGTCCCCACAGCCTCTTGAGAGGGAGGGATCGGGTAGACAGTCTCCCACCCCGGCAGGGTCCCTGCATGGGTCTTGACTAGCTGCCTCTGCCCCACCATTCTGACAGCCCCCCAAGGTAGGCATGGTTATCTGTACCTCATGAACGGGAACTAGAGGCACAGGAGGTGCAGTGACTTGCCCAGGGCCCCACAGCTAGAAGCGACAGACCCAGGTCTATGTAACTCGGAGCTCAGACCCTGGCTCCTGCAAGGGCCCTGCCTCCCACCCAGCCTGCCAGCCTGCTCAAGGCTTGAGAGCACACCCACCCCACAGTCTTCTGCCCCCTGTGCGGTCCTGCAGTTCCCCTTACCCCCTGCCCACACATGCTCAGGGAACTCGTACTCCCACTGGAAGCCTTCCCACCACTGCCCCACAACCCCCACAGGCCCTGTCCTTGGCCATTGGGCCCTGGGAGCCCTTGGTGACCTCGGGGGGCACCTTCATCCCTGTCTCCACTGCAGCTGTCCCCTGAGGCGGCCTACGACGTGCTGAGCATCGCCGACATGTACCTACTGCCAGGCCTGAAGAGGTTGTGTGGCCGCAGCCTGGCCCAGGTGCTAGACGAGGACAGTGTGGTGGGTGTGTGGCGCGTGGCCAAGCTCTTCCGCCTGGCGCGGCTTGAGGACCAGTGCACTGAGTACATGGCCAAGGTCATTGAAAAGGTGGGCCAGTGGGCTGCAGCTGGCGGGAGGGAGTGGTGAGAGGGCGGGCACCCCTGCACTGAGCTGGCCCTTCCCGCTCATAGCTGGTGGAGCGGGAAGACTTCGTGGAGGCGGTGAAAGAGGAGGCAGCGGCTGTGGCGGCCCGGCAGGAGACGGACTCCATCCCGCTGGTGGACGACATCCGTTTCCACGTGGCCAGCACGGTGCAGACCTACAGCGCCATAGAGGAGGCGCAGCAGCGGCTGCGGGCGCTCGAGGACCTGCTCGTGTCCATTGGCCTGGACTGTTGAGCCCCTGGCTGGGCAGCCCCAGGGGCCAGGAGCTCCCTTGGAGACAAGCATGTGTATGTGTTTGTGTGCAGCTCTTCTTCCTGCTCCCTGCACATTGAGGGCTTCATGGTGGGTGCAGGGGGCTCAGTGGGGCTTCTCTTCCCTCCATGAGCCTGGAGACCCCAGGGGAAGATGCATTTGGGATGAGCCCCCTCCCCCCAATGCACAAGCCAGCCCCCAAGATCCTGGGGGTGGGCACCACTCAGGGAAACCTGGGGTGGGGGTGGGCTTTGGTCTTAGCACTTTCCTTCCCCACATCCCCCTCCCCACACCACCCCAGTCCCAAATCCAGTCTTGTAGCCCTCACCCAGCCCTGGATTGCTTCTCTAAGCCGGTGTTCCCATGCACAGGGCCATTCAGGAAGGGCTGGGGGAGTGTGTGTGGCAATAAAGCTTGAAGGCATTGTGGGAGCATGAGCCTGTGTCCTGGGGTACAGCTTGGGAAGACTGGGGACTTCTGGAACCAAAGGAGCTAGTGGGACCAAGGAAAGAAGCTCCAGAGTTGGGGGCTCCCAGCAGAGGCTGGCCCAGAGCCCAAGGGCCAGAATACCTGGCTGAGCAGACTTAGAGATCTGCCACTGACCCCAGCGTGGCCTGGGCCCAGCCTGGCTCCCTCCCTCCGTGTCTCCATGGAGGCTGGTTGTGGTGGGCCTCATTCCAGGAAAGGGCCAGGACCAAAATGACCATTTTCTCTAAGCCCAGTGCCAGTCTTTTCCCCAGGGAGGCCCTTGTGGCCCTTCCTGCAGGGGCTGCCACCTTATTACGGGAAGGTGAGCTGCAGGGGCCAAGGGAGACCTTTCTCCTTGGCCCTCTGAAGGTTCACTGAAAACTTGAGTAAGAGGAGAAAAGACATGCAAATTTATTTAGCATGTAGACATGGGCATCTTCAGAATGAAGACCCAAAGACGGGAAGCTATCATTGTTAAGCTTAGGCTCAGCAAACTGTGGCCAGCTGAGTAGAAATGGGATTGGCAAAAAGTGCAGGATCCAATGCTGACAACAGGGAAATGCAGTCAGGCCTGTCTGGATTCTTCTTGGTCTCTCTGAGCAGCCTGCCTGCCTGTCTTCTGGGTGTGGGGCAGGACCCTCTGGAATGGGGGGGTCTTATGACCTATAGTCAAACAGGGTGGGACAGACGCTTATGGCTACTTTTTACACAGATAGGGCAGAGGGAAAGTGAGAGTCCTGTTTTTAGGTTTTGTGGCTGGCTCTGGGGAACAGGGGCTCTGGTTTCTAGGGCCCGCCCTAGGGGAAGAGGGATTCTAGTTTCTGTGGCTAGCCTTGGGATGATGAGACTGAGAGACAGGGGCAAAAGGTCAGAGAGGAGCTCCTGCTTCTGAGGTTGCTGCTTGGGCCTTCATTTTGGGGTATTTGAGCCCCAAGGGGGTTTCTCACGATGTGCTGCGCTGCAGGCCTGTGGATCCCCCAGGCCTCTCTACCTTCTAACCTGGTTAAACTCAGTCACGTCACGGCCCTGGGGGAGGAAAGGAAGGCTGGTTCTTTCACAGGGCTTCTAATATCAGGGGTCTCCACCCTTCCTGCAGTTATTTCACAGCTCTTCATGCCTTTTTTTCTTTTTTCTTGAGACGGATTCTCGCTCTATCGCCCAGGCTGGAATGCAGTGATGCAATCTTGCTTGACTCACTGCAACCTCCACCTCCCGAGTTCAAGCAGTTCTGCTGCTCAGCCTCCCAAGTAGCTAGGATTATAGGTGCACACCACCATGCCCGGCTAATTTTTGTATTTTTAGTGGACACAGTTTCACCATGTTGGCCAGGCTGAGCTTGAACTCCTAACCTCGGGTGATCCGCCCCACAAAGTGCTGGGATTACAGGTGTGAGTCACCGCGCCCGGCCTCTTCATGCCTTTTTACTATGTTATTTTTAGATTTTTTCCTTTTTCCTCTCCAGCGCATTTTCAGCCGTGTTGCACTGGCATGTTGATCATCGCATGGGGGAGGTTGTAGGTCTGAAGTGACCACTAGTGAAGGATGAGCTGGGACAAGTCATGGTGCAGCCTGCAGGAGGTGATGAGTGTGTTAGGGAGGTGAGGAGGGAAGGAGTCCCCCGGGAGGGCCTGTGGGTGGAGGTTGTAGCTTGTGCAAGGGCCTGGGAGCCTGAAAACAGCCTGAGATGGGATGGGCTGGGCGGGGTCTGCGCATTGCCAGAGCTGAGCTGCAGCCAGAGGCCCAATCCCCGCTGCTGCTCTGCCTTTCACTGCTGGCCACCGCTCTGCCTATTTGCCTGCCCACAAATTGGGGGTGATTATGGCAACTCCCTCTTAACTAGTGTTTGACCTATCCTGAGCCTGGTGTGTTTGTTAAACAAAAGCTGAGTCCACCTGGTGGGTGGGAGGTGGGAGCAGGGGAGTGACAGGAGCTCACTCTGGTTGCTCTGGGGCATGCAAGAAGGGAAGGGTGAGGCCAGGCTAGTGGCCTAACACCAGCGGGTCTCACCTCAGAGCACACACAAATCCTGGTGTGCTAAGAGATATTTAAATATTTAAAGAAAAAGTTTTATTTCCTATGCATTTCTTTTCATATGCGTTAGGGGAGAAAATGAGCTACTACATGAAACCTTTTTTTACAGATGTTATTATTTGAAATCATGAAAGTTTCCAATCTTGAACAAATTTTAAATAAAATCCCTAGTGAGAGGGCAGTTTAAGGAAAAATTATCTGGAGTTGGGGTATTTTAGTGGTTCACTGACACAGCGGATACAGCCAGGTGTACCAGCTATGGCATCTGTTGGGAGAGAGCTGTAATCTGAGAACTGCCACCCCTCAGGAGCTAGGCTGTGTGGTTGTGGGGGCAGCATTCCCCAGCCACACCACACCGTTCCTCACTTTATTTTATTTATTTTTTTGAAATGGAGTCTAGCTCTGTCACCCAGGCTGGAGTATAGTGGTACGATCTCGGCTCACTGCAACCTTCACCTCCTGGGTTCAAATGATTCTCGTGCCTCAGCCTCCAGGGTAGCTGGGACAACAGGTGCCTGCCACCATGCCCAGCTGATTTTCGTATTTTTAGTAGAGACATTGTTTCACCATGCTGGCCAGGGTGGTCTGGAACTCCTGACCTCGAGTGATCCGTGCACTTCAGCCTCCCAAAATGCTGATACTACAGGCATGAGCCACGGCGTCCCCATTCCTCACTTTAGCCTCAGGCAGAGAAGCCAGCGTGATGGGGAAACACTTGTGTAGGAAGGTGTCCAATGCGGTATTGCAAATCAACAGGAAACATTGCCAGCAGCCGCAGCGAGCAGCAAGTGGGGAAGGAAGTAAGAGAGCATGGACGCGCAGAGCTTCCTGTAGCCATGAGGGTGGTCAGTGCAGCCTCCGCATCCACAAGGAAAAGGTGGAGGACATTCAGGCACTAAGGGGTGCTCCCCAGGCTTATATGAGAAACCTGTGGCACAGACAGCCACACAGGAGTAGTGAACTACAACCATGGAATTTGAAATTTAGTGTCTAATACTTGGTTCTAAAATTGGGTTGATTTAAATTCAGAAGTGTGCCCTACTCTGACAAATGTTAAAATAGACTAACAGAAGACACATTTTGACACAGAGGCCCTGGGTTTGAGACTCCTCCATTATCCCTAAACCAGAGGAAGAGTTACTGTGTGAGAGCTGGGGATATTTGATCTGATTTCTGTTTAGTTTCTGTAATGTAGCTTGGCTACCTTTAAAATTAAAAAAATAAAAATAAAAACCATGTTTATCTCTTACTTTAATTCATTCCTACTCCCAGGTGAAAAAAAATTATTGTTGAATGAAAAATATTTCCATCATGTGTTATTGGAAAAATTATATGTGTGCTCTCTCAACTCAAGATACCCCAAATTTTTAACAGATAGAAAAATAGACTCGGCGTGGGGGTTCACGCCTGTAATCCCAGCACTTTGGGAGGCTGAGGCAGGAGGATGGTCTGAGCCCAGGAGTTTGAGACCAGCCTGGGCAGCACAGTGAGACTCTGTCTTTCCAAAAAATAAAAAATTAGCTGGGCATGGTGGCACGAGCCTGTAGTCCCAGCTACTCTAGAGGCTCGAGCCCAGGAGGTTGGGGCTGCGGTGAACTGTGACTGCACCACTGCACTCCAGCCTGGGCAACAGAGTGAGATGCTGTCTTAAAAAAAAAAAAAAGAAAGAAAAAGAAAAATCAATTGAACAATGACAAAATGAGCAATGATGGAAAGGAAATAAACTCCATTTTGCACAGGAAAGGTAGTGTAGGGATGGCTTATTGACCCACCAGAAGAGGAAGAGGAGTGAAGGTGGAGCTGGGCAGCCCTCTACCTAAAGCCCCAACCCTGACAGGCTGCCCTCTCCCACAGCAACTGCTGCTCTGGGGTTCCACTCCCTGCTGTGGCTGTTCGTGGACGCTGTGTCATCCCCTGCTGACCCCTTTAGTGACACCATCCTCGGTTAGGTGCAACCGTTTCCTGCAGGGCCCCGAATGAACATGCCCTTCACCCCTGTGCTCCAGCCATCCTGAGAGTCTCTCAGTTTCGGGGCCACCCTGAGCTCTCTGCACCTCGAAAACTCCCCCCCCCAGACCCCTCTGCTGTGCCCCCAACCCTGGCCCGCTCCTGCTCACCTTTAGCTTCTGGAGGGCTGTGCTGGCAGCCACTGGGTGCCCATCACTGTTAGGCTCTGGGGTGAGAGTCTGTGTTGCCCGGGTCCTCGTTCTGTGAGGGCGGCCCACCTTGTTCTGCCCTGGTCACTGTTCCTCCCAGCACTGGACACCGTGCCTGGCACATCACAGACGCCCAGTAAGGAGCTCGTGATGAGCCTGAGTGTTCATGGAGGAGGCTGGAAAAGCCAACAAATGCAAACATTGTTGACTCTGGGTTTGATACAGTGAAGTTCCGGGCAGAATTTGGTTGGCCGTAAATAGAGCATGAGGGCCTGGAGAAAAGGGGCTGTCCTTCAGGTCTGTGCATCTTTGGGGGACCTTCTGCACAGAGGCCAGGTGCCACCCACCCAGGGCCTAAGTGGTTTGCAGGGCCCACTGCAAAACAGCACGTAGGGCCCTTGCTCAAAAAGCATTAAGAATTTCCAGAGAGCAACAGTAGAGCATTCACCCAAACGCACGGACCTTCTAGTGTGGGGCCTGGGTCACTGCACGGGTGGCCAGGCTGCAAGGCCAACTTGCATCCACACCCAGTTTCCAGCTCAGTGCCTGGCCCAGATAAAGCCTTCCTGCCTCCTTCCTCCCTCCTTCCATCCCTCTCTCCCTCCCTCGGCCACTCATTCATTCCTTCATCACTCCATCACTCATTCATTCTCTCACTCATTTCCTCGTTTATTCATCCCCCTCACTCATGGACTCATCCATTCTCTCATTCATTCAACCCCTCACTCATTCCATCATTCATTCTCTCTCACTCATTCTTTATCATTCTCTTACTCATT